CACTGCCACTTGCCATGGCTGCTGTCAGGTACTGCCTGCAAAAGAAGGGGTTGGCTCAAGCTGTAGGCCCTTGTAGAAGGGCTGGGACAGACACTCATCCAGACGCAAAGGGCTCAACCCTCCTTCCCACTCAGCCAGCCTTCTCCAGGGCTAGTCTCTCTGGCTTATGTATTTGTGTCACCTGGGGGACAGCGAGGTCTCCCAGGTCAGAGAACTCTAAGCCTCATCTCTCATACTTTACCCACAGCAGGCTGACCACAAACAAATGCTGAACAATGACCACATGAACACCCAGCAGCCGCCTCACTGACCTCTGCCTCCTGTCTCTACATCTGGGCTGTACTGTGGCCAGACAACAGAGTAAACTTTCCAAGACAGCTCTGAGGAACCAAGACCCGCCCACAGCAGGGACTCGTTACATCAGAGGAGACTGCTAAATCTATCATGCTTTAGGCAGTCTCTGGAGTTCTACAGGGCTGTTTTGAAAAATGAGGGAATGTCTATGGCATCTTTCTTTCTTTTGTTGTTGGTGGACCTTTTAAAAACTCATTTATTTTTATGTGGTGCTCAGAATCGAATCAGTTGCTCACACATGCAAGGCAAGCGCTCTACCACTGAGCCACAATCCAGCCCAGACTATAGCATCTTTTAAAGTCACACTGCAAAACTGTGAAATGATTTCATGTGGAGAGCAATCACAGATACCTATCAACTTCAGTACCACTTACAATAGCAAACTGCTAGAGCAGACAAAGTGCTCTCAAATAGGGGGCTGGCTGAAAAAGACGGTGATTCACCAGCATAATAAAGAGAGACTATGCAGATCTAAAGAGGAAGAAGGGAAAAAGTAAAGGGAATGAGGAAAATCTCTGCACAGAGGATGCACACGCCATGTGAAAACCGACAGAGGAAAAGACGGGGTTCGCCATGCCGCTCCCTCTTCATCAAAGAAAGAAGTACGCATATATGATGAAGGAAGAAGACAGAAAAATTGCTGGGCACGGTGGCACATACCTGTAGACCCAGGTACTCTGGTACAGGAGGATCACTAGAGCCCAGGAGTTCAAGACCAGCCTGGGCAGCATAGTGTGACCCATCTCAAAAACAAACAAAAACCTCAAAGGATACACCAAAAAGCAAAGGAGGAAGGAAACAGAGTAAAAGCAGTTGGGTGGACCTCAGCGCAATACACCAGGAGGGAGGGAACTCACCAGGAAGGACCCCTGGCCTGCTGTATAACATCCACACATGCCCTTCGGGCCACTTTTGTCTGTTTCTGTGCAGATACAGAGTGACCTGAGGTGAGCCCAACTGTATACAGAGTGACAGTGCTTACTCCCAGGGTGTTCTGAGGATGAGTTCGTGTACACAGTGATCACTAGATAACGGTAACTACTATTGTTGTGTACATGGAAAAAGATCTGAAGGACACTGAAATTCATAATAATTTGAAGAGGGTGAAGATACATTCTTAAAAAGAAACCCAACACGTCGTCCATAGTAGCCACTTACAGCAGGAACTGGCATCCAACAGATCGCCCTAACTTCCCCCTGCCGATTACTCCTGTGTCTTTCTGAGTTAAAACCAAAGCCCCGACCAAGGTCTGCAAGGCCTGATGGGAGAGGGCTCCCCTCCTCTGTGCTCATCGTCCTGTGAGCATGCCATGCACGTCCTTCCTTAAAGGTTTCCCGTGTCTTTTCCTTCCCAGCTGTGGCTACCAACTCCCTCATTTCCTGTAGGTCTCCACTCAAATGTCTCTGCAGTGAGCCCTTCCCTGACCACCCTACTTCAAAGTCAACCCCTCCACCTTTGTCACTTAATCATCACCAACATATTACATGTCCACAAGCTCCAAGAGGACAGAGGTTTGTTGGTGTTTGTTCACCTTCCATATTCCCAGCCTGGAACAGTGCTTGGCACCTAGTAGATGTTCAATAAATACCTGCTGAATGAATTAACACTCCTGTCAAAGAACCCCAATCACTGGGCTCAGTATTCCTGCCCTTTGGTTCTAGAATACTTAAAAAATGAAAGCTAATATTTAAAGAACATTTTCTACCTGCTCAGTGTAATTCTAGTGTATGTGTTAATTCACTTAAACCTCATGACACCAACTCTGAGTTAACTTCATTCTATTTTCTTGGTGCTGGAGATTCAAAGATACTGTTTAATTTTCATTTACAAATTATGAAATCGAAGGCAGGGAGGTAAAGTCACTTGAACAATGGCACACAGCTAGTAAAAGGTAGAGCTGAAAATATGTATACAGAATCGTTAACTTACCACTATGCTGTATCATTTATCCGAAAGGAATTTCTTCACCTCAGTATGTTCGTTAAGTCAAGAGGCAGGACCACTTTACAATTAATATGCTGCCAGCCCAAATCAGAACATAATGAACCCTCACATTCTTTTTTTTTTCTTTTCTTTCTGGCACTGGGGATTGAACCCAGGATACTTTAGCACTGAGTCCCATCCCCAGCCCTTTTTTATTTTAAGACAGGGTCTCACTAAGTTGCTTAGGGTCTAAATGCTGAAGCTGCCTCTGAACTCAGGATCCTCTTGCCTCAGCCTTGTGAGTTGCTGGGATTATTAGTGTGTGCCACAGGCACCTGGCCCTTCCATTCTTTTCATAATACATCAAGACCTACCAAATTCTTTTACCAATTCCTTTTTCTTTTGCTTTCTGGTTTACCTTTAAGTTGCTATTTTTTAAATATACATTTCCCCCTATTTTGTTGATCCTCAGTATCCCAGGGGGATTGGCTCCTCCACCACCTTGGATACCAAAAACCCATGGATTCTCAAGTCCTTTATATAAAACGGTATAGTTTTTACATAAACTTACACCTATTCACATACATACTTTAAATCAACTCTATTTACAATCCTGATACAAGGTAAAAACGCTGTGTAAATAGTTGAGAATGCCAAAGAAAAAAGTCTATACATGTTCAGTACTGTCACAATACCCTTGCCCCCAAATATTTTCAATTTGAGGTTGGTTGAATCCACAATGTGGGACCCAGGATAGAGGACTGACTGCATGCTGTACAATAATTACTATTTTCCATTTTCTTGAACCCATTTTGCGTAATATTTTATCTGCAGATGTATCTTGGGTTTCTTTTTTTGTTGTTGTTTGTTTTTTTGCCAGTCTTCTAAAAGAAGAACATTTGGGATGTTTGTAGTCTTTGGCTATTACAAGCAATATCACTGGTCGCCCTCTCTACCCGTATACTCCTTAAGGAGTGGACTGCCCCACTCCCACCAGGGAACATGACTACTTCCCTATTATTCCAGAGTGGCTCTGGGAGTACTATTCATTCATTCAACAAACATTTACTGGGTATCGCCAGGATGGTGGCCACTGTGCTGAGAACACAGCGCTGGCTGAGACACACTTGTGCTCAGGGAGCTCATGGTCACAGACACAACCAGAGAGCACACAAATAAAGGTCTAACAACAAGTCAGGCCGTGCGTGACAAGAAGGAAAGGAAGAGAGGCCTATGAAAACACTGAGCAGGCGATTTCGGGGTGGAGGGCGGGAAAGGAGGGTTTCGTAGAGGAAGTGACGTCGGTGCCGAGACCCGAAGGATGAATGGGAGTTAGCCAGGCAGAATGGGTAACAGGATGTTGCGGGCAGAGGGGACAGTCGGTGCAAAAACCCTGAGCGGGAAGGCGCGTGGCGAGTTGGAGGAGCCGAGAGGCGGTGCAGCTGCGCTGGGTTGGGGGCGAGCAAAGGCAGAGAGTGGAGGTCGACAGGTGGACACGCCTGCGGGCCCACGGTGGAACTTTACCCGAAGGCACTAGGGAGCCAAAGCAGGGTCCTGAGCAGGGGAAGAAACGGGGGCCTCGAACGCCACTGCGCCCCTCTCCTTTCATGGGGCCTCCCTCCGCCCGCTCTCCGGCCTCTTCAGGGCCCCTCCTCCCTTCGTCCCCAGGCCCTCAAGCCGCCTCCCGCTCACCGCGGCTCCGGCCTCCGTCCCCCTCGCGCCCCCTCAGCAGCGCCTCTTCGCAGACGCCGCCACCGCCATCTTCCGCCCGCCGCCGTGACACTACGCACGCGCCCCACACGCAGGACCGCCGGGAAATGGAGTCCAGTCTGCGGTCCGCCCCCGCCTCACCTCGTGCCTCGCGGGCTGCCTTCCGCCCTCCCCCATCCTCCTCTCGGTCGGCCTCCATTTCCGGCCTTCGAGCGTCATGCCTTCTGGGAAATGTAGTCTCTGGCAAAGGCGCTGGGCGGAAAGGGGGAGTAAAGGCTTCTGGGAAATGGAGTTCGCGGAGCTTCGGAGTCCTGGACGGCTGGTGGGGAGGCTAGTGGGGAGGCTTCTGGGCGAAGCTCATGGGTCTTGGAGGTGGTCTGTTGCCCTGATGGGGTCTAAGCAAAGGCCCTGAGCCGCGCCACCTTTGAGCCTGACCCTATACACAGTCTGAAGTCTTTACAGCCGTCGGAAGCCTCAGTGTCGCTGTCGGTCCCATTGGAATGTGGGCGTCTCTGGCTGGTTCTTATAATAGCATACAGGTCCCTCCGCAGGCCATAGTGCCCCCCAGCTCTCCTTTCCTAGGTCGTACACGCTGGGCTCTGGCTTTTCACTTTCTCAGGTCCAGACGATGAAGCCCTCTGGGGTAGAAGGGTGCTCCTGGATGGTTCTGCCCTCCGGGTCCTCAGTAGCAGCAGTGTCTCCCACCCGTAGCTCCCTCCCTCTTCATCCATCTCTGGCTCTCGGATCCCAGGGCAGCGACTCCCGACGTCTGAGGTCGGTGTCCTCGCGATCCCGCAGGGGGCGCCCCAGTCCGAGCGCGCCGCCCTCGGGGAGGCGGGAGGGCAGCCCTGGGCGGGCAAGGGCGGGGGTGTCCCGGCTATAAAGCGTAGCCGTCTCCCGCGGCGTCCGGGACAGCGGGACCCCGGGCAGTCGGACGGGCGGGCGCGAGAGAGCCCGAGCACTCGGTTTCCCCGGGCCGGAGCCGGGGCGGGTGGGGGCGCAGGACCGGGGGATGCTGGGCTCGGTGAAGATGGAGGCTCATGACCTGGCCGAGTGGAGCTACTACCCGGAGGCGGGCGAGGTGTGTCCTCGGGGACCGCGGAGCGGGAAGGTGGGGGGCAGGTATCGGGCTGTGGGCTTAAGTGGGGGTAGGGGCCGTGGTGTGTGCTCAAGGGGCCCAAGGAATCTAGTTGGGAGTCGAGGAGCTAGGGACACGGAGACCAGGTTTGGGAGTTAGGGACGCGGGACAAGGCTGGAGAGCGCCTTTAGGCAAGGCTTAGATGGGAGGAAAATTTAGACAAGGGTCAGGTCGCATCTTAAACCTGAGGGCCGGGTGTTGGGCCCTGAGATCCGAGGGATTAAAATGAACAATCCTAAGGCAGGAATCAGAGCTCCAGGGTAGGCGATAGAGCAGGAGGATTTCGGGAAATGGGGTTCAAAGGAAAGGGGGAAAGATAGGGACTAAGAGAAAGAGGGAGTCACCATTAAGGGAAGTCTGAGGTGGAAGGGAGCCAGGGCTAGAATACAGTGTTGAAGGTGGGAGTGGAAATCAGAATTGGGGTTCAGGGAAAAGGATCAGCTGGTAATCTAAGAAAGGATCAGAAATGGGGTTGGTGGTTCAGGGTAAGAGAGATTCTCTCCAGATGTAGTTTCCCTTGGGGAGTCTGAAATAACAGGTGGCCTAGATAGACCAGCACTCAGGTCGTGTCAACATTGGGGACTAAAGAGCAAGTGATGTGGCCATCAGCATCTGCAGGAGAGGTAGTCAGTCCATCTTCACCCCCCTGCCCCCATTCATCACCCTCAGCAGAGCTTACCCAAATCGGAGGCTGGAGGATTTCAAATTGTGCCCCTCCTTACTCCCCCAGCCGCCAACCTCCACGTTTCTAAAGCCCCCATCAAGCCCCATTTCAGATGAGGCTTCCCAGAGTAGGGGGCAGGGGCATATCCTAATTCCTCAACCTAAGCCCACAGAAAGTCCTTTTCCAAATCTGGCCCATATTCCTCTTACTGCAAGGACTCTTGCTTTGCTCACTTGCTCTATAATCGAGATTGTGAGATTGGGGAGGTTGTTGTGGGGGTCTGGACATGTGTGAGCCTGGAATGGTTTGCAAGAAGTCAAGATCTAGGGGTTATGGGGCGCTCTGGTCTGGTTTTGAAACAGTTGAGTGGGATTCCTGGATCCCCAGGCTTGCAGGGCTTGGCGTGGTGCCTGGGAGGCGCCAGTCCTGGGTCTGGGGAGGTGTGAGGTGCACTTGGGTTGGGACAGGGCTGTCTAGGGAAGGGACTGGGAGCATTGAGAAGTGGAGGGTGGCTGGAGGTATCAGTTCTATGATGGGGAGAGCAGAGACCAGGGTGGGAGGTGGAGGCCCAGGTAGTGGGGGATCCCAGCGGCATCCCTGGAGAGCTCCAGGACTAAACAGAGGATTTAAGGTGACCAACTACAAATGAATGTTCCGGGGATACCTTAAGAAGTAAATGTTGGGGGGTGGAGGACTAGGCAGGAAGAGCTATAGTTCAAACAGATCCAAACTGGGCAGTCTGGAGGTGATCAGCATTTGGGGGGGTATTTTGGAAGAGTAGACATATACAGGGCTGGACCTACCGTCTGAGGGTCTCCTGGCCTTCCCATCAGGCAAACACCCTTCATCCTCTTGGGTCAGAACAATGGGAGAGACACCTGCGCTCAGCCAGCCACAGAATTGAGGGTCCCCAGATGGCCTCTTGTCCCCTTCACCCTCCTGCTGGGTGAAGTAAACACCATGAGAGCCTTTGGATCGCTGTCTGGAGGGAACATGGAAAGTTCTGACCCTGGGGTGTCCCTACTGGTCCAAGGTTCACGCAGATCAGCTGACCCAGTTGCTCCCCCATTTTAAAGGTGGGAAATATGAAGCCTCCCAAAGCTGGCTCTGGGACTAAAAACCAGGCTTTGGTTTCCCACTGTCTCTCTCTGCTCCCTGTCACACCCTTCTCCAGAAACAATAAGGAAATGAAAGGGGAGAAATTGCAGCCTCCTGGGTGGGGGTGCAGGTCCCTTGAGGGCTTCCCCCCAATCTCAGCCCCGCCCTGTAGGGGGAGATCCGGTTCAGACCCGGACATTAGGGGTTCATCCCAGTCACGGGCGTGGGAAAGCCTAGGGTGGATTAGAGCAGCTGGAGTGCTTGAGGTCAGCCCTCAAGGAGGACTTCCGGGTGGGTAGTGAGCCAAAAAAGGAGGGCCCTGGGGTCCCAGAGAGCTCAAGGAGATTTAGAAACTCTCTGCGGATCCACCTGAGTCCAACACCTTTCCTGCTCATCCCTTCCCTTATTCTTGAGAGAGCAGAAGTTGCCAACCTGGGGAAACCAGTGCATGGACCAGGGGAGGAACTGTGGATCCAAGTTCAATGTGAGACTTCTGGGGAGACAGAGATGCTGAGGGAAGGGAGATAAACAGATGCGGAGATGTGCTGCAGGAGGAAGGGTGGGCTGGGAGGGGAGATATGGGGGTGGGGGAGCTGGGGAGGGAGGTTGGGGAAAAATAGACGGGGGTGGACCACGGGGAGAACAGACAGGGAAAGAAAAAGGAGGAGGGTAGAGAGACCCGGAGAGGAAGAGGAGTACACATACACCAAGAAAGGGAAAAACAGACAGATACACGGACTGGACCTTGGGGCCAGCAGGATTGGGATGGTTTCCACTAACCCATAGCCAAGGTGACTCTAGCCAGAGCTCTAGCAGCACCCTAGCACCCTGAGACCCCAATTGGGACAGACTGGGGCAGATGGAGGTCTGAGGATGAGAGGATGGAAGACAGTGGGTGAGCTGAGCTGTGGGTACATAAAGAGAGGCCACCGTGTAGCACACTGTGCGCTCACGGTCTTCCCCGGACTCTCAGCTCCAGGAGGACAGGCACTTCCACCTGTCTCCATCTCTGCTTTTTTATTTATTTTCTTTTTAAAATTTTTGAGGTGTAGATGGACCCGATACCTTTATTCTATTTATTTATCTTTATGTGGTGCTGAGGATCGAACCCAGTGCCTCACTTGTGCTAGGCAAGCACTCCACCCTGAGCCCCAGCCCCAGCTATTTTATGTGTGTGTGTGTGTGTGTGTACTTTGAGGTGCTGGAGAGGAAGCCCACAGCCTCAAGCACTTTTCCATGGAACCACATTTCCAGCCCTTGCTCTCTGCTTTTATTGCAAGATCCACGACATAGGTCTGGGCCTCAACTTTTCAGCTGTAGCTGTAAAAGCTCAGAGCATCCTCACTGCACTTCCCCCAGAGTGTGGGTCTAAGGACATGAGGAGCTGACAGTTCCTGGGAAGTGCTTGGAGCGGTGCCTGGCACAGAGGTGGCTGATGACTACATGTTGAATGGATCATTGAGTGACTGTATAGACGGTGATTTTGATTTTGGTGCTGGGGATTGAACCCAGAGAGACTTAACCACTGAGCAATATCCCCAGCCCTTTTTATTTTGTTTGAGACAGGATCTCACTAAGTTGCTTAGGGCCTTGCTAAATGGCTGAGGCTGACTTTGAACTTGCCATCTTCCTGCTTTAGCCTTGTAAGTCATTGGGATTACAGAAATGTGCCACCATACCTGGCTACAGGGTGATTTTAAAATATGCAGAATAACTACCATATTTCATTGAGCTAAGGTGCACTTTTTCCCCATTTGAACATTTCTGAGAATGGGTTATGTTGTATAATCCATGATATCTAGTGATTTTTAACTGTGGGTTTTTTTTCATTTATATTGACATATAAAATAATGCTATAGCTTACAGTCAAGTGTTAGATTTGATGGTACATAGAAATACATATATTAGGTAAAAATGTGATTTCTGATCTTTTTTGGGGGGAGTGGGGTGAGTACTGGGAATTTAACCCAGGGCACTTAACCACTGAGCCACATCCCCAGCTCTTTTTATTTTGAGTCAGGGTCTTGCCAAGGTTCTGAGGCTGGCTTTGAACTCACGATCCTCCTGCCTCAGCCTCCTGCTACTGGGATTATGACCAGCACCACTAAGCCCTGCTGATCTTGATCTATAAAAACAGTAATTTTTAAACTGACGTGGTGATGTGTGCCCATGGTCCCAGCTACTTGGGAGACTGAAGCAGAAGAATCACTTGAGCCCAGGAGTACAGGGCCAGCCTGAGCAACAGAGTAAGACCTCTCAAAAACAAACAAACAAACAAACAAAAAAAAAAACCCTGTAATTTTATAACTTAGAAGATTGATAAAGAGCTATACAGATGATTAGATTATTAGTGATTTATATTAAGTACTTATTAAAATTGAAAAGTACAAATTTATTAGAAAAATTAGTTTCTCAATTGACTTGGTTAATTTTGATTGATTTCTCATTTTTTTAAGTCAAAAAAATTGATTCTGAAAGTTTCGCACAGTGGCAATGTCATAGCCAATGACATTTATCTGAGGTGTGAGGATTGCTAATTGAAAACAACTTTTCCCAATATAGTCAGCATTTGCAAGTCTTGATAGTCTCTACAGACACTGAATTTTTCTAAAAAACTGATTTTATTTGGTTTCAGGATGTCTCTACACTTTTAAAATTTACTGAAGATGGTAAGAAGTGGTCTGCTAAGGTTTGCCTAGCATATATGAGGCCCTGGGTTCCATTTCTAATACCATATTTTTTAAAAAAATGAAGATAGAAACTGTTTGGGGTTCTGTGTATTGATATTTACTATATTCAAAATTAAGATGAAGAGATTTTTAAATATATATATTAAGTCATTTTAAATTAACAATCATTTGTTAATACAAATAACATGTTTTTATTAAAGCAACTATATATCAAAACTTTAGTGAGACAAGTGGCACTGTTTCACATTTTGCCAAGTCAAGTTTGGCTTGATAGGAGAGCTGGAGTCTCATAGCTGCTTCTCATAGTCCCATCTTTTGCAATGTCGCTTGCCATGGAACTTCTGGAAAAGTCCACTGGACATCGTGAGATGGTTCTGAACATGGTTTTGACCTCATGGACACCCTAAAGGGTTTCAGATTTCCCCAGGGTGTCCCTGACCACAATTTGAGAGCCTCTTCGAACATGCCTTTGATAGTGTGGGAGCACTGGGGCGGGGGGGTGGGGGGTACAGAGCTGGTGTACAGGGAGGGAGAAGAGACTTTGAAAGACAGCTGCCTTCAGAGGGAGATAATGACGGAAGAGGTTTTTATAGGAGGTGGACAGGCAGCGTGGACACCTGCTAATCCGTTGCTGACCAGCAGCATGGACACCTGCTAACCCTTCCCCCTATCTCTTTCTCTTTCCGCAGGTCTACTCTCCAGTGACCCCAGTGCCCACCATGGCCCCTCTCAACTCCTACATGACCCTGAACCCTCTGAGCTCTCCCTACCCCCCTGGAGGGCTTCCCTCCTCCCCACTACCCTCAGGACCCCTTGCGCCCCCAGCTCCTGCAGCGCCCCTGGGGCCCACCTTCCCAGGCCTGGGTGCCAGTGGTGGCGGAAGCAGCAGCTCAGGGTACGGGGCCCCGGGACCTGGGCTGGTGCACGGGAAAGAGATGCCCAAGGGGTACCGGCGGCCCCTGGCTCATGCCAAGCCGCCATATTCCTACATCTCACTCATCACCATGGCCATCCAGCAGGCCCCAGGCAAGATGCTGACCCTGAGCGAGATCTACCAGTGGATCATGGACCTCTTCCCTTACTACCGGGAGAACCAGCAGCGCTGGCAGAACTCTATCCGCCACTCTCTGTCCTTCAACGACTGCTTTGTCAAGGTGGCACGCTCCCCAGACAAGCCGGGAAAGGGCTCCTACTGGGCCCTGCACCCCAGCTCCGGCAACATGTTTGAGAACGGCTGCTACCTGCGTCGCCAGAAGCGCTTCAAACTGGAGGAGAAGGTGAAGAAAGGGAACGGCGGGGCCACTGCCACCAGGAACGGTACAGCGTCTGCCACCTCCACCACCCCTACTGCCACAGTCACCTCCCTGCCCCAGCCCCAGCCTCCACCCCCCGAGGCAGAGGCCCAGGGAGGGGAAGATGTGGGGGCTCTGGACTGCGGCTCGCCCCCTTCCTCCACACCCTACTTCACTGGCCTGGAGCTCCCCGGGGAGCTGAAGCTGGACGCGCCCTACAACTTCAACCACCCCTTCTCCATCAACAACCTGATGTCGGAACAGACTCCGGCACCTCCGAAACTGGACGTGGGGTTTGGGGGCTACGGGGCTGAGAGTGGGGAGCCTGGGGTCTACTACCAGGGCCTCTATGCCCGCTCCCTGCTCAATGCGTCCTAGCAGGGGGATGGGAACATGGTGGTGGGGTATGGCTGTGGTTCATGCCAGCAGGCTCTTGGGGCCTGGTCCTTCTGGTGACATGTTGCTTGTCCCATTGGCTAACACCTCGTTTGGTCTATTACTTACTGTGATGATCCACTGGGTACTGTGATAACCGCCATGGACATCTTGGTGGGCCCGTGGGCTACTGCGAAGACTGTCATGTTGATTGATGTTATGGGTTGATCCGTGGGGTGCTTTGATGGCCGCCATCTGGGACAACATCTTGGGTGGCTCTTTGGATTCTGTGATGGACATTTTGATGGACACTTTGGGCACAGTGGTGATATCATTTCAATGGCATATTTGGCCCATTGGGGGCTCTAGTGTCCTTGGCCACCATCCTGCATGACATCTCTTTTGGCCCATGGGGTATTTGGATGTTTACCTGTGGGCCAGGTGACACCATTGTGCACCAGGATGACCACACAGCCCCGCGTGCACCATGTGGTCGGTTGTCTCTTCAGTGCGGGTTGGGTGGGGGATGGAAGGGAGAAGATTCCTTGGTTCTCTCTGAGGCTCATCCCCCACTCTGGTCCAGGAGACCCCAGAAGTGGCTGGTCAGGGTGTGGGGAATTTCTACTGAAGTCTAGTTCTTGCCTGGGAAGCGGGATACTGGCTGTGTGACCATTAAAGGCACCGTGTCTGCCTCTCAACTGAACGTTTCTTTTCCTTGGCGGGCCCTGCAGAGCTTGAACACCTGACTTTCTGTTCCCCTGTCCCCTCTCCTTTCTGCCCCCAAGAGCTGGCTTCCTTTGGGGGAAGGGCTGAGGGAGGTACTGACCTGACCTTTGGCTCTTTGCTGTCCCTGACCCCAAGGACAGTTTGTTCATCGATAGCAGCCCCCGCAGCAGTGGGGCCAGAGCAGCAGGGGGAGGTGGCTCTGTGGTGACCAAGGTCATCTCCCTGCCCCCACTTTGCAGATACACACCTTTAGCTCTGAGGCTCGGAGCCTAGGGACTGCTCATGTCTTGGTTAGGCTGGGGGTGGGGGTAAAGGTTAGATGAGGTGTTGAACTGGAGGCCCTGTGCGTGTTGGAGGGTTTGAGTGTGGCCTGCTCTGTGGCTGTGGAGCATGGCTTCCTGGCGGGGTTCCTGCGGTCTGCTGCAGGGGATCTACTTGCTTGTAGCCCTCCGTTGGGCGGGTTTGTGTGTCTGTCCATACTCTGGGCATGGGCTCACTCTGGGTCACAATATCAGACTCGTGTGTGTGTCTTTTTGTTCTGTGTTTCTCTGTGCACCTCTCCCTGGGCCTCACACCTGCAGGTCCCTGTGTGTCACTGTGTCTCCCCACTGCCTCCACAAGAGTGTGTGGGTGATAGCTTCCATGTCTGCCTGCCGTTGTGTGTGTATGTGTGTGATTCCTGTCTCGGCCGTGTGCCTGTCACGTTGTGTTTGTGCGGAGTTTGCTGGCTGTCCCTTGCAGGCAGGTGGGTGTGTGAGGAAGGAGCTGGGTCCTCCTCTCTGGGCTTGGGGTCTGGGGTATCTGTTCCTCCAGGGCTCGCCCAGGTGAGGCTGTCCCAGAAACACAGCCCTGCACTCCACACCCCTCTTTTCATTATGGAAACTGAGGCCCAGAATGGGAAGGGTCTGGGCCAGGTCATTCAGCAGGGCTGAGACAGGTGGGCAGGTTAGTTGTGTGTGTGTGTGTGTGTGTGTGTGTGTGTGTTGGAGGGGGTGTACTCGGGTTGAACCCTGGGGTGCTCTACCACAGTGCTACATCCCCAGCCCTTTTTAATTTTTATTCTGAAACAGGGTCTCGCTAAGCTAAGTGGCTGAGGCTAGCCTCAAATTTGCAATCCTCCTGCCTCAGCCCCCTGAGCTGCTGGGATCACAGGTGTGTGCCGCTGTGCCAGGCTCTGACGGTGGCTTGTCCTCACTTTGCTTTTGCCTTTCTTGGTGGCATTGGCTTCTCTGGTCGCCCTGACCACTCATTCATTTCTTCAGCCAGCCAGCCATTCCGTCATCCAAAGACCAGAGACTCTGTTCAGCCACCTGTGTGTGAGTGACTGCCTGCTCCTCCTGTCTCCCTGTTCTCTCCTTTCTCCTAGTCTCAGTGTCACTCTGTCCCCAACTCTTCTCTCCCTCTTCTGTCATTCTCACCTCTCTGGGTTTCTGGCTCTTTCTGTTGGGTTCCTCTCCTGCGATCTTTTTCTGGCTCTCTGGTCTGGCTTCCCTGGCTTCCCGCCTCCTCCCAGGTCCGGAGTTTCCGCCTCTCTCTACCTGCCACCTCGCAGGCCAGGCCCTCTATTTCTGTCGCTGTGCCCGCCTGGCCGGCTGCGTGTCACCCCCGCCCCCTGCCGTGCTGGCACCCCGTCGCCGTCCACCAGCCTTGCTGTCCTGGGCAGGCCGGGGAATTCCTCCTGGTTCCTGGAAAAAACAACTGGGGCCGAGAGAAAGGCCCTCAGTCTCCCGGGCCCCCGCCCCCTCCCGCGGGCCTGGGGGTCTCTGCGGAGTCTTGGGCCCGAGGCAGGAAGCCCTGCGGTTTCTGGCTTCTCCCCGCGGCCTCCGGATCTGGCCCCCGCCCCCCGGCCAACAGCCCAAATATTATTCCGCGGGAGGAGTCGGTGGTGGCGGGAGGAGGCCCAGGCTGAAAGAGGCTTTCAGGGCGGCCAGGCCTGGGGCTTCCTGTCCCCAGGCTCGGGCCTCAGGCCGCCCCAGTAGGGACCTCAGGTGGCCGGAGGGGCGGGGTGTTGTTGTAGGGTCCTTAGGGGAAGGTGGGGCCATCCCTCAGGGTGTCTGGTGGCCACCAGCCGGCCTGGCGTGGGCAGGTGTGACCCTCACCCAGGGACAGCCGGCTGATGTCCAGCGTGGAAAAGTACCACGGTCAGACATGGGACGCATGGACAGACAGGAGGACGCCAGGGATGAGGGATGGAGGGGTAGCCATGGGGACACAGCCGGGCTTGGGCTAGGCGCCTGAGGTGACACAGTCCAAGGGAGGGGCCTTTGGGTGGGGAAACAGAGGATAGGGCAGGGTCCCTTCTGTGGGCAGAGGGCCACCCTTGCATCAGAAGGTTTGAGACAGTAATGAGGCCACCGATGATAATATATAATAATTAGAAGCTCCTAAGGCTGACGCAGAGGCAGGCCCATATATCCCCAGCTACTGGGGAGGCTGAGGCAGGAGGAGCCAAATTTAAAGCCAGCCTCAGGAACTTAGTGAGGCTGGAAGCAATCTAGTGAGACCCTGTCACAGAATAAAAAATAGAGGGCTGGGGATGTGGCTCCATGGTTAAGTGCCCTTTGTGTTCAATCCCTGGTACCAAAGAAATAAATAAATTAATAAATAAAAAATTTTAAAAGCTAAGGTGTGGGTGGAGCTGTGTCTAGTGGTAAGGCACCCCTGGGTTTGATACCTGGGGCGTGGGGGGCTACTAGGGTTACCACGTGTCCAGCATTGTATGAGCCCCCTACAGAACCGATCCGTCCAATCCCTTCCAACTCCTCCCCCCTTTATCCTTGGTAAAACTGAGGCCCAGAGGGGAGAAGTGACTTGCCCAGCGTCACACAGTCACACAGCCAGTGAGTGGTGTGTCAACTGACCCCAGGTGGTCTGGCTCAGAGTCAGTCTGATAGCCACAGCTGCTCTGGAGATGGGAGGGACAACAGCAGTACAATGGCCTGGGGCAGCCATCTGTGGTGGTCACCCCTGCTGCCTGCCACAACTTGCTGCTATGGAAGGCAGCACCCCAGAGGCCAGCGGTCTGGGTGCTTTACATACATGTGCACTGCTGTGCTTGTCACTGGGCTTCACTCATGAGCTTGGGTGTCGGGTGTCTGTGGGCGTCTCTCTTCAGGGTGTCGGTCTTGGGTTGGTGTCCACCACTGGGTTGATGTAGGGGTCACTGTGTTCATGTGTCTGTCTCTGTTCTGCCTGTCATGGTCTTCTGTGTCTGTCACTGTGGGTCTGCCTATATCTGTCACTGTGTGTCACTGTGTCTGTCCCCCTCTGCTATGTGTCACCATCTGCCCAGGTGTCACTGTGGGTGTTACTCACCACGCAGGCCACAGGTGGGCGTGTCGGGCCCACTGGTGCCAGGGCTGGGGCCCAGCCCATCCCACCCTGGCTGCCTGGGCCAGGCCAGGCGCCTGTTTGCAGTGCCTGCCCCAGGTAAACACCAAGATCCGGCCCGAGGCCGCCTCCCTGGCCTCTGCCCCTGCCCCTCTGCCTGCTCGGCTGGGCTGGGCTGGACCAGTCTACAGACCCCCTCCCACTGGAGACGTGTCCTGGCTGCCCCCTACCCTTGACACCAATGTCCCAAGTCCCTGCCTTGACCCCAGCCTGCTGTCTCGTCCTCTCTGGGTGCCTCTGACCTTTTCTTTCTGTCCCGATTGTCTCTCACCCGGTTTCTCTGTAGCTCTGCCTTTCTCTGAAATGACCCTTGTCTTCATTTTGTCAGCGTCCCTCTCCCTGTGGCTTTTTCACTCTCCAGTGAAGTTCCATTTCTTCGATGTGTCTCCAGAGGAACCAGTGACTCTGTCTGCCACTGCCTGGCTCTGGGCTGTCAGAGCCCCCAGGTTCAGTACCCTTCTCGCTAACTAAGTTTCTTAGAGTCTCTCGCTCTTAGCCACTATGTCTCTGATCCCCCAGCCCCCACAGGGGCCGACTCTGCCATGCCAGGGCCCTTAGGAGAGTGTGCGGCCCCCAGCCTCCCGCCCCAGCCCTCTGGTATATCTATATAAAGGTATATGCACATATTATTTATATCTGTACTGGGGCAGGAGGGGCAGACACTGGGGCCTTTGTGCAGCCGCTGCCCGCTGCCCGCCTGCTTGCCACTCCTCTCCCTTCGTCCCTGCCGCCTGCGTGCCTACACCCCCCCCCCCACCGGGGCACAGAAAGGTTCCTGTGGGGCCTGCCAGCTTCCTCTGCTGAAGGTGTGAGTGGGCATGCCACGGTGGGGCAGTCAGGGAGGCCCGGGGGGTTTTTTCCAGCTCCTGGGAAGCTTTCCGGGTGGG